CAAAAAAAAAAAAGGTTCTTGGATAGACCCTGAAACCGAACCGGAAAAACAGGGTCGGTTCCAAAACAGGGTCCAGGGAAAACATGGTTGGTTTCAGGTTCCAAAAATTGGGAACCGGTTATAACAGGGTTGGTTTCAGGTTCCAGGTCTGGACCCAATCCACCCTGGAACCGATCACCCCTACTTTTGAGGGGTACCGAGTGTGCATTGCACCATTTCTTCATAGGTGAGTGGCATATTCCATTAGAATAAGTCAGGACCACAACTTCTCTCACTCCACGGGTCCTAAATTTAACCTATTGGAAGTATTGAATTGTGGGGCTATATTAGCCAGTTACCCTGTCATTACAGATATGTCGTCGAGAGGGCTCTCGCCTGATAGTCACTCGTTTTGTTTTTTGCAACTTGTAATTGGGCGAGAGCATCTCTATGTGTACCTCCTATGATTGAAACTAACTGGGTCCTTAGAAGCTTCCTCCATCAAATGATCTCGACCCCTAACTGGACTTTTGGCAAAATTCAGCTCGATCATGCTGGAGGGCAAGGGGCGTGCGGCGAGTAACCTGGCTTGTCGTCGGGACCGTAGGAACCTCAAGTGTCAGTCGATGACGAAGAGAAAAATCCTTGGGATAGTCATGTAGAAATAGCCGACGTGCAAGATGTAATATTTGGATTTTTGACCAATCAAAAAAAAGAAAAAGAAAAAAAAAGGGTTGAAAGTCAAAGGAAGAGAACAATGTAGGTTAAGCTCAAATAAACGCAAAGAAGGGACCGAGAGCACGCGTGACAAGAAACATAGAAGGAAAGGGGAAAGGAAAAGTAAGAAAAGAGAGAAAAGAAAAAAAAAGAAGAAGAAGAAAGGGAAAGAGAGATTTCGCGTACACACCATGGACACCTCACCAAGTTAGATTTACTATGTATTGCAACGTACAGTAAGTGTTCGCGCCCTTCGTTCACCCAATTAGATAAGGTTTTGGAATTAAGGCTTAAATTCGAAGTTTTGTGAAATTCAGGCCGCAAAATCCGATTTTTGAGTCGTTAAGTTATGGGATTTCACGGAAATGGTAGATCATGGCGTTGTGGAGCCGTGGGTTTGACAGGAGTCGGTTCTAAGCAACGGTTTGGTTAGAGTGAGAATTTTAGGGTTTCGTGTACGGGTTCCGTGTTGCGTTTAGGCTTGAATAATCGCTTTGAGTGAGCGGTTTGTTGTCTTGTAGGAGTTGTTTTGTTAGCATTTAAGCTTAGTATAGTTGTTTCGTAGTCGAAGTAGTGTTTTACTTGATTTTAATGTCGATTCTCGTTTAATTGCTAGGATTACAAGATCGTCGTTCATGTGAGTTTCATTGTTTGGTTTTTGGGTATTCCCAAGTGAATGGTATTATCTCTTATTCGAGTTTGTAAATTCATATTTCGAAAGCAATATGGTATGTATATTATGAGTTACGAAATGGCATTGTTGTTGCATAAAAAGCGAGATCGAGCATCTACTACTCCTTGGTAATGTTTTAGAAAATGTGTTATGCAAGGTTTCGTGAAGAGATATATATAATATATATACTTATAACTTTGCGAACTGGTTTTTAAAGGATTTTTGAATGATATGAGAAATGCTTTGAGAAATGTATTTCAATGGATGAGATGTGTTACGAAAAGGTTATCTATTTTGGTTTATAAAATGTATTATGGCTTATGAGATTAATTCTTGATCGGATTTCTAGTACTAGAGGATGATTGTGTGATGTTCAATATGGCTATGAACCCGAGTAGGGGTTTCGGGGCATGTATATCAGTTTTAGGATATCCTTCTGAGCCAAATCACCGGTTGATCATAGGTGGAGACCTTTTTAAGGGAGGAATTTTGATTGTCTTGTCACCAAGCGTTGTGTCGCAACCATGACTTGATATTGAGCAATAGATTAGTCAATGGAATGGACCATTGACGTGTAATTGATGAGATTGATCAATGAAATAGACAATTGATATGTGAATCGATGAGATTGATCAATGGATTGGATCATTGATGTTTGTTATGATATTATTGATTTAATGAATATTTTCTTATATGTATCCAGTCATGTTAAAGCGATATAACTCATTCTTATCTTGTATGTGCATATTAGATATTGGAATTGAGATAAACGAGTTCTGATATTGTGTTTCGTAAAGTACATAGTGGATGCTTGATCTGCTTATAAGAAATACACACTACTCATTAAGTTGTGGTTGCTCACCCTATTTCTTCCAAATCTTTTTAGGTTTCTCAGTTAATAGCCAATAAAGCGAGAGCGATATTGACGGGGACTTTTGGGAGTTGGATTTTTTGGTATAGTTTGGGGCTGCATTATTCGGGTGGAAGGACGGCCATGTCACTCCCCCATTATGGTAGGATTCGGAGTGTGACATCTTTTGATATAAGAGCTTAGGTTATAATCTGTTTGGGTGTAGATTTTATGGGATGTTGTGATTTTGTGTGATAGTTTATAACACTTTAGTCTTTTGTTAAGTACTAGGACTATGTTTCTTTTGGTGTTTGACAAGGCGTCTAGTCATCGCCGATTGTCTTATGTGGCATGCTGACGTGACAATTTTACTTTCGCTACATCAGTGATTTCTAGTAGCAATTGATTGAAAGGGCTACATTAAAATTTTGCACAAATATTCAGTACTATGTCGGCAAAATAAAAAATGTTGGGATTGAATTGTAAGTATAAAAACCTCATAATTCGACATGATTGAAGGATCTCAAAATCTAGCATTAATATATACAATGTATTACAATGTATTACAAGGTTATGTCAACAACAATGGATCGAAGAACACAAAAGTTAGGTTCGGATAAAGGAGATACCATTTTGCTATGCGCAAATGCTGAAGAAACAAACTTAGTAGTGCCAGAGGCAATTAGAATGAAATAAATTCAACTTCTAGAAAAATGGATTTCCCGATCGAAAAAGGTTTAAAGACCTATAAAAAAAATCAAGAAGTTGAAAAGATTATTTTATATGAAGATGGAAGCATAGAAATTAAGTTCAATAAGAGTAGATGATGAAATTGAACATAGCAAAATTGAATGAAGAAACCTGCAAGAATTTCATATAAAATTCCTTCTAGGTCATTGCAAAATTGAATGAAGAACCCGGTTTGCTCAAACTAGAAAACATTACTCAATTATCATTTTCCAAGCTAAAAGAGAATATTACTCAAATTAGAAGAAATTAAATGATGGACGGGCGGTTCCATCGTTTTCACTCACCTCCTTCACCAAACAATTCACGGTACATGGAAAATGGATCTGTCCCGAGGTGGGGTCCGTCATAATATACTGTCTGCAAGATTCTCTCCATTATTATGATTTCCGAGAGGGACAGCTTTGTCCTGAACCCCGATGGAGATAACAACAACTGATTGTGTTTTTTTAAGTGGGATGTGACTGGGTTAGGTTGCGAGGGATAAAATCTTGGGATCTTGAACCATTTGTTTGACCAATTATAAGGTCGTTCGGCCACCTTAATAATGAATTTTAGGTAGTATTGATTATGATCTTGATCTTGATTACATCAGTGCACCTGTTCATGTAATAAAGAAATGTCTAACACATGTTATTCACCTCCAATGCCCCTCCCGAAAATGCGTGTCGTAATCAAGAAAATCCATTTCCTGTCTTTCCTTGCTTTTTCCTCGTCAAATTAATTGAATTTTCAAGGAATTGAGAAACGAAGATCCGGGTCGAACGGCCGACACGTGACTTAATCACCGAAATCCAATTTTATCTACAATTAGTGCTAACATACGAGTTAAGAGGGTCCTTTGGCGACCTAAAAGTTAATTTTATGTAGTATTAAATGTGATCTTGATCTTGATTAATAAAGAAATATCTTATCTACCACGTGTTATTCACCATCAATGCCCCCGAAAATGCATATCGTAATCAAGAAAATGCATTTCCGTTTTTCCTTGCTTTTTCCTTGTAGAATTAATTAAATTTTCAAGGAACCGAGAAACGACGATCCGGGTCGACCGGCCGACGTGTGACTCAATCACGAAACCAATTTTTTATCTACAATTAGTGCTAACACACGAGTTAATTAGACATGGCCTAAAGTCAACTTAATCAGGGGCTATTATATACTCAATCCGCCATTATATATTGCACTTGCGTATGGTGGTGAACAATATTATCTGGTAAAAGGTCACAGCTGGTTCTCACCCACATATGTCCCATTTCCTCAAGCAAGAAGACGGATTTCCCCAGGATGAGCGGGGGATATGCTTGCAGATAAAGGTAAGCATTATCGATAATCACGAGCAAATTCAAGACAAAGAGACACATAATCTTCTGTATCAACCACTTCACAGCGAATTCCCATTATCACGACACTAAAAAAATATAATTATTTTCTTGAAGCCACGTTTCGGTGTCATTATTATTCAAATGGGAGAAAGCAAAATAGTGGCATGGAATGGATCGATGCCATCATCATCATTGACATTCTTAGCAGGCGCTCATTCAAATCATGCCATGTACAACTAAAAGATTCTGCATTTCCAGGAAAGAACCAATGAGAAGTAAGCCCAAAAGCGGGATAAAAAGACAATTGCACAGCTTGGGACCATAAGCTCCATCTTGACTTTTGCATAATTGGGTATGAAAACAGGACTCAGATCTAACTTTTTCCTTGGAAAGTTAGCTGCAGCACTTTGATTTTTTCTTTTTCTTTTTTTTTTTTTATCAATTTTCCAAATCTTTCCATCATTTTCATGGATGATCAGCAAAACCCACCTTCTCAATTGAGCTGTGCTAATCCTTAATTCTTTCTCTATGTTATGATAGAACTTTTGAAACCAAGAAGAGAAACCCTCCAGTGCTCTTTTGATGAGATGAATGTTAAAGCCACCGTCTTTCTCAATTCAAGCAGAGAATGGTAGGTGACACATACCTCAGATTCTCACAAGGAAACAGATCATTTTTCTGGTTCAGCATGCACACATAGATGGTAAGATTGATGATAAATGAAATGGCCCCAACTTCTTACATATATGCTCTCACAACAGTGTTCTCATACCGATAGCGAGTAAAAGCAAAACTCAACAGAGTTCAGGATATAACAACAAAAGAAAAAATAAAGCTACCTCTGCAAAATTTCGAAGCCTCTCATCTCAGCTGAGATACTTCTACTTTTTATGTATGATCCGTTATTCATAGATACTAACTCCCGTATAATTTTTATCTGCAAAAACTCACCGCCGACAAAACTCTATACATCGACTGTACCGGGTTTGTTAACATGGCTTTTCCAGCTATAACATTCGGACCTCTCGTCTTCTTCATCCTCCATGCTGTTGCCTCCGGTGGTCGAGGTAGTAGCCCCCATGCTTCCACCCAACTGGAGCGGACCTTGTGGAGAATCAGACTGTGAGCTACTTCCTTTTGAGGAGTCGCCATACTGATCCGGGGACAACCATAAACCACCCAAAATGGCAACTGACTGATCCGCCGGGGAAGATGTAGCAGACGAGATTCTTCGAGTATGAAGCCTGTATTTCTGAAAGGAGAAAGAATCTAAAAATCAGTCTTGACCATCAAAAGAAGAAATTGACAAGAACAGAACTGCACGGTCGAATATCTGTTCAGACTATAGACGGTAAATAACATAAGAAATTGTTGGAAAATTACTTGAGCACCTTGATTTCTCATACTATGTCAAGGAGATGTTTGGAAGATCATAAAAAAAAACACAAAAGGAACTGGGATCTTGTGAGAAACTCACTTGCAAATGACTTTTCACCTCGTCATTGGTCAGGCCATCGACCTGCATAAGTTCTCTAATCTGCTTCGGAGTAGCCACTGCAAGGATCAAATAGATTTATATCAGACCATGGTGAGGAAACACATGGGTTAACAACAAGACCAATCATCCATCTCCACAACTTCTCATTCACTTTTTCCAAACTACCAAACACAAAAAAAAAAAAAGAAAGTCCAGATAACACAAAAACCAAAAATCTATGTCCCCTGCAGATTCAATCGTTCATCAATGTGTAATCCACCAGCAGAAAAGATAAATTCACAGAAACATCAAAGACTGCACCCACTTTATAGAAGTCTAGCTCTCTATTGTCAGCTAAGAAGTTGTATGATTATCAGAACCTGTATTGAATACAACTGCATATTCTAACTGTAACCTTGTGAGCCACCGAGTTGTTGCAAGGCATTGACGAACCGCCTGTGCAACTCAGGAGACCAGCACCTTCTCTGCTTCCTTGCGGTCTGCTGCGGAGGCTGATGTCCTCTGCTCGGTAGATTGGACTGAACATTGTGGGCAGGGGATGGAATCAATCTCGCGCACCCCATCCTGGTTTCGGCACAAAACGACTTTTCCCTCGGATTCTTGATCCCAGGAGCGAGAAGCGAGAGGCCTTGAATAGGCAATCTCATTTTCTCCTCCTGGACGGAAGTGACTGGGGCTGCCGAAAAAGGCGAATACCCCTTAAGTTGCCCGAATGGCCTCCCCCCATTTCTCCCTTTACATGTCTCCAGTAGATCTTCCGTTGCAGAGAGAGTCTGTGCCTGATTTCCCTGGGTAAGAAATCACTCAGTCACATTAGATCCTCTACCTTTTCGACAACAGATTCTACAACAGTTGATTAACACACATTTTTCGCAGTGTCAAGTGGTCAAAATTTTGCTTTTTACCGTGGTTTCTAGTTTAAGTTCTTGTTTAAGATCAGGGGAGTGAACGGCGGGGGGACTATCGTCCGCGTTCCAGAGCTGGACGGAGCTCATCCAGTTCTTCTTGTCCCTAGAATCGTCTGCCCCTTTATTTAATTCAAGCTTTTCGTCGTCTTCGTCTTTGTCCTTCTTCAGTGGGATGAATTCCTCCAGTACAGGCTGAGCACTCGTCGGTGCAGCGCATTGCTCTGACTCCATTTTCAATGCCAGAATAGCTACCAAAGATAATCAAAACACAAACAACACCACGCAATCAGCCAGAGGATAGAGACGGTGAACCCAGAAATGGAAAAAGGAAGAAAACGAAGAGGCGATGAAAGCTGCGAATCAGAAACCAAAGAACAAACACGAATCCGACAAGAACCCACGAATCAAATCCATCGGCAAAAGGAGAAGAAACTCTCATCAAACACCTCCATTGCAAAATCAAATCGACGGTTTTCGATCCCCCAACGAGCAGAATCTCCAAGACCCAGAAAAGAAAGAAAGAAGGAGGTCAGATAAACGAACCATCCTTCAACAACAGCATGCAGAGCGGGAGCTCGCGCTTGAAGGCGTCGATCTTGCTCATCTCCCCCTGCAGCCTCGCCACGTAACCGTCGAGCTTGGACGACCGGGCGCGGGCGTCCCCGATGGCCGACACCTCCCGGAGGAGATCCCCGATCGTGGCCGGCACGAACGACGGCCTGAAATCCAAGCTCAGCTCAGGTGGGTTCGACCCCATTGGCCCCCCTCCTCCACAGCAGCTCAGATCGTCTTCAGGTACACTGTGTCGTCTCCTGGGATGGCGTTGCGCAGGTGCAGAAACAGAGAGAGAGACAGAGAGAGAGAGAGAGAGGGAGGAAGGGATTGGATGGTGAATACTGAATATATAATTACAGATGCATGTATGTATATATGCACGGAGAGATGGAGAGAGAGAGATGGGAGAGAAGATTGGAGGAGAAGATTCTGTTCGTGGAGAGACGCTGTTTTGAAAGAGAGGAAAAACAGAGGAGGAAAAAACCCACGCGGCTCCTCGCGTATTCTATCCACCCCTCACAACGCACAAACGCGCGATCTCGCATCCGTCGGTCCAGGATTTTTCAATGCTCGCTCCAAACGCCTCCTCCTCCCCCACCCTTTTGTTTTTTTTTTTTTTATGTTTTGAGGGCTCGGGAAAGTAGGACACGATGAGATAAACCTCAAGGCCATGAAATTATGCCGTCAGTCGAGTCACGGAGCGAGCCGAAGCTCGGGCAGGCGAGATGGATGTGAAATGATCTGCGCATGGCAATTGGAAATGCCGGGGGACATGGTATGTAATTAATTCGCAGGATCAACTCCTCATGAAGCAGGGGTGCGTGCGAGAGAATCTGGAACCTATGGAGCCGGCATAGCCGAATAGGTTTCAAGGTGGGTTTTAGGGATAATTGGATAGGTATTTAATAAGTTTCAAAATTTCGGAAATGATGAATACTAGTGGTGATTGGTTCAAGAATGAGTAGATTTCAGATGTACAACCCGAAACCTACCTTGTTAGATTGGCTCCTGATTTTTGGAATTAAGGACCGACCTTGTTAACTCTAGAATTGGCATGAACCCGTTTAGGCTAGTTTTAAGTTCAACCTGCGAACCAGCCAAACTTTTTTTGTTTTTTTTTTTTGTTTCAATTTATTATATACAATATGCACCGGCTAAACATGAATAAAATTTTTCCATATTGAGAATAACATGCCAAACATATTTAATTTCAACATTATTTTCTGATTTAAAAAAACAGTGAGGGAACTTACTTAGGGTTAGGGTTAAACCGGTTCAAAACAGATTTGGTTTCAAGTTCTACCGTGGAACTGGCCTTGTAGGTTCCCTATTCTAGATTCCTAATTAGAACCAGCATGTTTGGGGTATAGAACTGGAATCAAACCGATCAATGTCAGTTCCTAGTTATTGGAATAGGGAACCATATCGGTCCCTTTGTGAACTATCTTGAATCAGCCAGGTAAGGCTGGTTTCCATATTGAATCGGCACTATTGCTCACCTCTAGTGAGTACATGATAGCCACCATGTACCTTATATAGTGTCCCCTTTGTCTTTCCAAGGAATCCAATAATAAAATGCAAGGTACCCCGTATAACATTTTTGCGTAAATGCATATGTACTGAACTATTTATGATTTTCTCTTTATCTACTTTTTTTTCATGTTTAGATGTGGAAATGATGGGAGGAAGCATATTTATCTATTGAATGATATAGTTATGTCTCAAGATTATATCATTATTTAGACATCAACATGTACTTTTTTATTAATGCGCTTTTGTTAAACCTTGAATTAATAAGAATTGGACCATTTTCCAGTAAAAAAAATCAAAAGAAAAGTGTAGTACAAAGTATCCTTAAACTTGAGAAATTGAAAAGTTCAAGGGTTGTTGACGGTTAGAGATGGGCATGGGGCATGAGGAATTTGTACCCCACGATGCCCCGGAACGGGGCAAATGTCTCCCATGAAACTTGTTGCGCAAGGCATTTAGTGGGGTGAGGCAATTGATGGCACAAGGGTTTCAACGGTATTAGCCCTATCCCATCCTGTTTATTGGCCCCATATATATTTGTTAAAAATTATATGTTAATATAATATTAATTTTTTGGGTCGAAATAATAGATATTAGTTACAAGTAATATGTTAGCATATATTGTTATATTCTGTAGCTCAAGCTAATTCATTAACCGCTTAGTTTTAAAAACAAAGAAAAATGAAGAAAAATATATACGTTATTAAGTGAATAACACTAGAAATGTAATTAATATTATATATAAGTGGAGTCACGGTCATTAGATTGTGATACTTCTAATAGCTAGTTATAGAATGTGAATAAGTTTATAGTAACATAACTCATAATTGTCATGACAACTCTAATTCATTGTATAATTTAATATATAGTTAAAAAAGATTAATGAAATTTTTTCTCCGCACAAGGAACGGTGACCTGTGGGGCGCCTCGGCCCGCATAGGGCTGTGGCAAAGAAAAGCTTCACCTCGTGGGGTGGGGATGGAGAATGCAATCCCCAGTCTCATCCCGTCCCGTGCCCATACCTATATCGCAACTTCAAAAGGTATCTTTAGAAATTTGGATTTGATAGTTAAAACATAGATTGGCAAATGTTGTACCCCCTCGGAACCTACATGCCTCTATAGACTGATGACTCTCTTTTATAATTAAATATCCGTCTTATTATAATCGTTGAAATTCCAATGAGATAAAAGAGGATTCTCATCTAAACAAAAGATAAGATATGATGAAAATATTTCATAGAATGGTAAATCAAAAGAGGAATATGACAAGTTAATGTGCAAATTTACTGTAATGATTCTCATTCTATATTGATATTCTTCGAGTATGTAATAGCATACCAAAGGAAACGATACAACCCATTTGATGACATTATTCAGAAAATTATAAAACTTTTATCTAGCTATTAATGTGCCCAATAACCCGTTGAGATTAAAAAGATATATATAATTGCGTGATTCTTGTAAAAAAGTTATCATGGTAATTTGTCTAGATTATTTACTTATTATTATGGGTAACAAAACATTTGCGAATTGTTCATGTAGTAGCAATTCCACAACAGTTTGTTAATACAAGTACGTTCATGTTCAATAACTGCAAAAATGAATTATAAAATTTCAAAATTGGATAAAAATAAAAAAAATATTATTGATAAAATTAACCTTATAATACCTAATCAAAAAGTAGCTACTAATTGATAATTGATTTATTGAGTCAATGATTAATTCTCCACCATCTTCATTAATAGCACTAAGAAGAATCACTAAATCTATGTGGAAGAATCACAACGTGACTCGTATCCAAAATGAATGTAGAGAGCAAAATTCAAACCCGACAGAAGATGGCACGACATGACATCACTCGAAACTGATACGTTTTCACTCATTTTAATTAAAAACATCATCTAATTACGTTTAAACATTTTTTGTAAATGATACAAAATGACAAGAGTAGTCAACACAAACACATAGATGCAAACACGAGTTGTTTGCCCGAGTGCCCGCCATTAGATCAAGGGGATTTCCACGTCTGTGGTTCGAGAGGTTTATGTATACATATAAAGATTGTCACACCTTTGATCTATGTCGCCCAACGATTGAAACTACCACAGAATTTTCTCCCACACACACTATCAGCTGGAGTGCCTGTGAACGAGTCAAAAGGAGCATAAAATAACCTATGTTAGGATAAATTAAATTATATTTGATAACCGTAATCTAAATAAATGGGAATCACTCTAAAAGCATAAAGATATGAATGAAAGTCCAAGAATCTTCCATTGATTTGGTCTAGTCTACTAAACTTGGGCTAGCCGGCCAAACATCACTTTGATCCTGAACACACAATATATTTTCCCTTGACGATAAGAATAATTTGACATCGTATAAGATAAGATTCAAAAGTCAATGAAAGCCTTAAATTGTGGAAATGGTCCACAGAGAATTCGAACAGAGATGGGAATTATCAAAGAGAGGATCTAGTGCTTGCTAACAAATGAGGCCGGTAAAACCTAGAATGTCGAGGGTCGACTTGGTTGTACCTTCAGATTCCAACACGTTTGTAGAACAAACAAAATCTTCTTTACCGCTTCCTTGTGGAGACTGTTATGTTGTTTCTTTCTTCGCCCTGAAGTTTCTTCATTTCACATGCGGTGGTCTTTCAACTAATGTTTAGGTGAAATCACCCGTTTTGAAGACTTCATAGGTCACTGAATTGAGCCGTGGATTATACTATAGAAAATGAAAATTACGGAGAGTTTTGGTTGGTTTTTCGTGACATGAGTTCGTCATCAGACAGGTGAGATCTTGTGATAGTTAGTCATCAACGAGACATACAAAAAATGGTCATCGTCTCATGTAGCTACTGAGACTACTCCCTTTGGGGCTTGCATCGTGCTGAACGGCAGGTCATTACATATGCTATCAGAATAGCACTCCCTCCTGTAGATTCAGATCCAAAAAGGGCAGCAAGTGATCGTCGGGGCAAAAAGGTTTTTAGGTAGCGAAGTGAGCATGAATGGATCGGATCATACACCAATAGGAGGTGTATCACTGGGTGGTATGGACCAACATTGATGAGAATGTCACTGATCTAAGTGGAATTTGTATATTGAATGGGCAAGGACTTGTGATATTAGCCATAAATAAGATGCACTTCATTACATCATTTTATGAGACCACTTTTTGAGCTTGGCCGGTATGGAACAAACCGAGTGGTTACAAATGCTATAAAGCAGGACTCTCTCTAGTAGATTCCGATCCAACGAGGGCAAGGAGTAATTGTTAATAGAAGAAGATTCTAGAATAGGGGCATAAAAGGATCTGACCACACATCAGTAGGGTGTCTAACGCTAGTTGGTATGGACTAACAGTGGTCTCGGTGGAGAAATTTGTGACACTTTGAGTGTCACATATCGAATGGGTTTGGACTCATTATATTATTCATAAATATACTCCCCTTGTTACTTCATATTATCAGATGAAATGGATTTCACCTCGAAAATTTATTAGAATTAATTTAAGCAGTTTTTAATGTGACTTATATGTTATGGATATATATATATATATATATATTTGTTATGTTCATGCTTTGAGCACTTGAGATTTGATTTTTGATATTCTAAAACACCTCGATATCAACGTTCAAAGTCTACGAGGAAGGATCACGCGAAGACCAATTTTCTGCTAAAACTTTCTTGGGTTTGATTCAGGAAATCTATGCCGAAAGCAAAGTAAATATTCTCACGCCTCCTTTACTTGTGCACCGTTTAATGTGCACATTTCAAAATTTCTCTTGCAAAAAGAGATCTCCTCTACAAAAGATGAACTCCAAAAGGGGAAAAAGAAAACAGTCATAGAATCAGAACATAGACCAAGCAAGCCATGGCCAGCACTAATAAGCTCATTACATAAAATGGAAGATCATCTCCATATTGATCAAATTAAAAGACTCAGTTACCATTTGTGATT